ATGTTTAATCCCAAATATTGTTACAGTTCACTTTTTATTATAATTTAATTAATCAAATCGTCGTTAAGCTTCATAAAAGTTTAATTTAAACCAAGAAGGAGCTTAACAGGGGTAGTGTAAAAAATGTTCAAATTTTGATTTAATTTTCCTCTTTTATATTGGGAATGAAGGATCATTTTTTACCGTTCCAACAATTTAACAACTGTTTAGAAGTAGGCCAATAATGGAAATAGGAGTGGTACAAATTTTCATTCGCATTTCCTTTTTGATCTTGGGAATGAAGAATTGGTTTTTCACTATTCCAACAATTTTACGGCTATGAAAACAAAATTAGTATGGATTGGAAAGTCCAGACAGGTAAATATGATAATTGATTATTTGAGTAATGTGAAAAGGTAGAGCAAGTAAAGAACTTTAAATATCTTGTTTGACACTTGCCTAAATAAGTTGAGTCGGAACCCTTCCTTTCAGGTAGTTTCCGGTAGTGTGCAGGGATGGTTAACGGCTTGAACTCTCAGTTCAAGTCATGCCTCACCGACTGCAGATGTGCAGGCACCCTCTTGGACTACTGGAAGTTGATGTCAAGACGCAATGATCATGGAGTCTGAGACCAATCGTGTTCTGAGGTCAAGTAAGAAAACTTACCTGATCCAATTGGTGCTACGGGGCCCTGGTGGCGCTTTGGGTAGATGGCAAGAGTGCTAACACTGCTTGGCAGTGGTGGTCGTAGTGGTCATGTGTTTACAACTGCTTGCTGTACGATACCAGTGTTCAGCTGGTCGTGACTTAGTTCAGGCCAGTCATTTGGTTTAGTATATAGAGGAGCAGATGAAAGCTATGATGGTAGGCAATGGCCCTTTCCGTGAGCACCAGTCGAGTGCTTGCATCTCTTTAACTGTCCGGGCTGTGAGGTTAGATTGTTATCGGTTAAGACCCTCGGGTTGGGTACAATCCCCAGCCGGTGCCCGCACTCCATAGTATAGATGTAACCTCTCTGTCCAGGTAGTGCAGTTCTGAACCCATCCTTCAGTTTGTGTCCAGCCGTCTAGGTAGTGTGTCACAAGTGTTTTGATCTGACAGGCTCACTGCGCCCAATTACGCCACAAATCTAAGGTCAGTATTTTTTCACTTTTGATGATTGATTCAAGCATTTCTGTAATTTTTGAAACCTGTGATAGTGCAATTTCTGTCAGGTTGCATTACCTTGCTAGAATGAGGGTGTTGTGCTTGTCAGACTCATTGTGCCTCATTTCGAGAAAATATTTTTTTTTTTACATTTTTCAATCGTTATTTTAGTATTTCTTTGCGTATTTCATGGGGCGTGACAAATCTACAAAGTGGTACAAGGAACCCCACACAAAAGACACCAGGCGAGTCATAACATAATCACTGACCCTCCTGCAGTGAAAGGATCTGCCAAGAATGCTAAAACATCTGCTGAATGTTGGAGAAATTTCTTTCCAGATGAAATGCTGGAAATAATAGTGACGTACACAAACCAATATATCGATAAAAAACCTGTACCACTACAACCCATGAAGGGTCTGGGGTTCAGTACTATTTAGGGAAAGCACTGTTTCTAGGTCAACGGTTGTGCAAGGAGGTGATTTGACCGAGATCACGCTCAACCGCCAGGTTTTCCCCCTTAACTAATTATTTAATTAAGGGTACCCACTTTATAGAGGCTGGGTGTGCCCCAGGAGGGACTTCTGACCCAAGGTCGCCCCACGGCCAATGAAACAGATAAATAAATTTTCTGCCATGAGCCGGGGTTCGAACTCGGGACCTTTGCATTGGAAGCTCAGTGCCCTACCACTGAGCTACCCCGCTCCCAATATATCGATAAAGTAAAGGATAATTTTTCCAGAGAGAGAGATGCTAAACCCACGGACTTGATTGAATTGAAAGCTTTCATTGGTTTGCTGTACTTGCCAGGGATCTATAAATCTATTCGTTTATTTCTGGAGGAATTATGGAGTAAAAATGGAGATGGAATTGAAAAATTTGGCCTCGTCATGAATGTCAAACGATTCAAATTCTTGCTTTATTGCCTCCGTTTTGATGACAGAACTACCAGAAGCGAATTGATCCTATCCCGCCAAGTTACGAAAACTCATCCAATCCAAGCTCAACTCGAAATAAATAATCTAAATGTAAACAACTTCCAACCACAACCTTGGGAAAAACTGGCTAAACAATCTAGAACCTAAACCGTTTCTAATTGTCAAAATCAAAGCACAATTTTGTTCTGGAACACAGATGGATACAAGAACTTCAGTGAAGAAAATAGACACTTAAATTCATCAACTATAATTTGCCTCTGCGAAACGCACTTACAAGACCAGCAAAGGCACCCCGCACAACGGCACAGTTGAGGCAGAGGCAGTGGAGAACTGGTCATACTTTATAATACAAATGTTTACACTATAGATGTGTTAGATATTTGTGAATATTGAATCTGTGCCCATGTTAAAAAAACTCATGGAATTAATGCATTTATCATAATTTTAGTTTATTTTAAGCAGTCTCTGAATATTTTGGAGCCGTCTTGTTTTGGAGTTATTTGTACCCACTCTTACTAAATTACAAATTAAATATTTTCATAATTTGTTTTTGTATCTTAGGGATTTTAATTCTAGGGTAGCTGATTTGATTCAGGGTGATTTTGAGGCTTTTAATGGTTCTAATTTATCCCCCTAATCTTTTCGACTGAGAATAGACCGAACTCCTGGGTAGAAATAGAATACGCCATGCTTTTTAAAAAAGGTGACCGCAATCTACCCGAAAATTATCATGCAATCGTTTTGATCAATTGCATAATGAAAATATTTACCCGAATAATTCTGGATGGGTTGATTATCTGGTGTGGTGAGACAAAAGCTGTCCCTGAAGCGCAATGAGATTTTCAGATACAGCTGGGATTGTGTGGAAAGAGTTTCTTTGTTTTGTTTGTAGATTTGAAGCGAGCCTTTGACTCGCTGAATCACAATTTGCTAGGTCATTCTCTTCACTATCTGGATATTAGCAACAAAATTACTAGAATCTTAAAAAATATTTATCAGAACACCTCAGCTAGAGTTAGGAGTAATGGTGTGTTCTCGGATGAAATGGATGTCACCTTGGGTCTCTTACAGGGAGAATTACTATTGCCTTATCTTTTTAGTCTTTATTTGAACGATATTGAGTTATTTTTTCAGAGTTGAAATGTCGGGGGTATAAAGATCAATAGTTTATGTGACGTGTTCTTACTTCTTTACACGGATGATTTAATAATTGTGGCCGACAGCTATGAAACGATAAGCCTGTTTAAAAACCATATAGAGGAGCTTGATAAACAAAAGCTGATTAGCCCTACTAGGTACAGCCCAATGAATTTCAATATGTATACAGTGAGTGCTAAGCATCAGCCTTATCTCGTATTAAATGCCCAGTTCCATATGACCAAAACACTAACACAGCTCAGGTTATCTGGCAATTATAATATTAAATTAACGTTTAATAATACTTATTAATATTTCTAGCCAAAAGAAATTTGCATGCTTTGTAACCTTAACGCTTCAGAGGACCTTTTTCATATTTTTGTCTGGTGCCCGATTTATGCTCCCTTCCGCCATTACTTCCTACCTCATTTCATTAACATGGCCAGCGAGAATTATTTGGAATTATTCAAAACTAACAATGTCTTCCTCAAGAACCTGTTTTATTACCTGAGGTTATGCTGCAGATTGAGGTCCTTTATTTTCAATGAATAATGACATTACATATATTTTTCCAAAACTTTGAAGTTTATTTACTTTGTTCTGCTTGCGGTATTTATTGTTCATGCATGAAACATATTTCTATGCATATCGTATTTTATTGTATCATTTCCTATTTACTATTGATATGTTTACGTATTATATATTGTATAATATGCCTGTATTTATCTTTATTACTAGAGCTATTTATTATTATTCGCCATTTTATTGCATGCTATGTTCTGATGTATTATTTTAATTATTGTATTATATGGAGCATTATATTATATTCCATTGTTCATATTCAGGCATACAGTCAGATACTTGGGTGTTATCAGAAGAGGATGTTGTCACTGAATCCCAATGAATTTTACTTTGTATATAAGTTGTAAATGTTTTTCATATTAATGTGTTCATTTTTATCATTATAGCCAACTCTATTTGTATGGGGCATTCCCCGAAAACAAATAAAAAATATTCATTCAATTCTTTCTCTAGCCTACTCATTAAATAGTTATTAATTTTACAGAATATCTCTCCCACTTCTTCACAAAAGCGTCATTCAGGTTCAACTGTTTGGCCTCTTATTCACTTTAGAATTTGTCCCAAATGAGGTCTTCCTAAAGGGGAGAGGAGCACACAACCATGCTTGGAGTGAACAATAAGCCACTGTGTCTGACATCATGGAGATCAAGCAAAGATATCAGAAAATATGACTCAATGCTACTGCCATATTAAGTATTTAGTCTGTTTAACATCAAGTCTGTTTGCTACAGTGAACTAACATTGATAGGAACCAGTTTTTATCATATATATATATATTCACATTTATTATACTCCTTGAAGAAGAAAAGAACTAAAAAAATCCGACTGTTTGTCACCACAAAATTGACTTTCAATGCATTTAATACATTTTTTGATAAATCCCAGTCTTAATTTCAATATAAACTATTTTTTGTTAGTTTGATTTTTAAGTTTGAAGATTTCCAAAAACTCAATAATGCAATAGTTGGAAATAACAACTTCTAAAATTTTAAGCACTAGCTTAATTAGAATATTATTTCAAGTATAAAAACTGGATTTCATGAGGAGTGGAAAAAAAATTGTCTGTAAAACCAAAATAGTAACCTCTAAAAAATGAGAGCTAAACTTTCATGTTAAATAGTATAAACTACTTAAATAAATAACAACTATCCCATTTTTTTTCTAATTGATCAATACAAAATTATCAATGTACATTGATTTCATGTATAGTTTACTTACATTCTCCACTTCTTCGAAACTCAGTTTATTCTGTAAAGTTTCTTCAGTCTTCAATTTATTCTCTAATAATTTTTCTCTTTCTTTAAGAGCTTCAACTAGTTTCCAATTTTTATTTCGTAGTTCCTTTAAAATTTAACAAAACATACAAATAAAACTTTTGTGATTATCAAAGCTTAATGATGTCAACTATAAGCTGATATAATAAAATACATTCAATGAACACTAAAAATACTAATTCTAACAATATATTATATGTACTAGGTATTATTAAGAGGAAACAGTAAGGCACTCATTGATGTAAGTATACTATAAACACGTTCCAGTGATAATGGGATTGTTTAAAAAAAAAAAAAAAAAAAAAAAAAATATATATATATATTATTATAATACTATATTTATTTTAATAATAAATATTGAATAGTTTAAATAAATAAAAAATTATAGGTGGCAAAATGTTGCTGCATATATTTCAACCCAGTCGATGAATACCCAGAAATTTTTGAATTTGGGACTTTCTTTGGATTAGTTAGAAGGTAAACATATTAAAAGTCACCACTACTATAAGAGGAGCAAGATATAGCGATGGCATCTAGAAAGTAACTTTTTCCTTTCAATTGTGCATAAATATCAGGAAACTACATGTCCTAGTGATGAGGATGCTATAAAATTAAAGTGGACAAAATTTGCAATAGGATAGATACTATTCATATACTGAATAGTTCCTGAGATATCTGTGCTTAATAATCACTGATTTTGAGAAGAAAAAAAATGTCTCACATTTTAAGTTTTATTTGATTAGCATATTCTTTATCTCTTCAGTCTACAAAAAAGTCAGAAGAAAGAAAGTTTTCAACAATAAATTTCGTTCAAGAATGTACATTATTTTACTATTTTAAATTCAAACATAACAAACTCAAAGCAATAATTATAACCAGGAACCATTTATTTTAGATTAGTTCAACGGGATGTAGGTAATAAAATGAACTTTAAGAGATACTTCATACTAACTATATCCAGAGGATAATCAGCCATGTAAATTATTAGATTGATTCTTTGTGTACATCATTCATGAGGGTGAGAACAATCAGATGCTTGGACGAGAATAAACAGAATTTAAGAAAGAAGGCACAGGAAAGCAAAACATGACTTTAACTGATGAAAATTGATAATAAAGTTATATTTATCCTGTAGCTGATATTAATATGTTGACCGTAGTGCCAACAAATATGAACCTTTCCCAGTGCTAAAAAAAGTTTATTACAATACCGCATCATACACATGAAGAGTGATTTTAAGAGAATAAGAGTGACAAGGTTGTACCCAACACTGGATGATATCACCAGAGTTTCCACGATTCACTTATGCAATGCCGAATTCTGCAAGATGAATCATTCTTAGACTATACTGAAAATTGGGAAAAAGCAGGATTCAAGAAAATTCATTTTATTTTAGAAGAAGAAAGGTATTTATATGAGATTTATATTCCACACACAAAAAAAGTAAAGTGTAAACTTTTTTTTTTTTTTCATAATTCACTTTAAGATAGGAGACTAATGATAATAGCAACAAATCCCTTCATAAAGATCAGTAAATATAATCATTAAAAATAAAATTTAAGAAAAAAATAAGTAGTTCATTTAAACATTGGAAGGAAAGAACTGAGGACAAATGACTACTGGCCACTGTAATTCCTTGTTTAAAGACTGGGACCATATATTGGACATTGCTTTATGTATTTTTCTACAGGTGTGGATCCAGTGGAAAGGGAGGAGGAGAGATTCATCTGGACCAACACTTACAATAATTAAATAAATATTTTATATATCACAGATTGATTTACAGTTTGTATTGAAGATTATAATATAATTCAAAATGGAGTTGTGGGAAAAATTTTTAAATGGCATAAAATGGTACCATTTCCCTTAATTTTTTTTTAAATTATTGCTTCTAACCCACCCTAACCAAGAGGATTTTTAAACATTTTCAGCGGGTTTTCCGGAGTAATGTTTTTTAAGGTGGTCTGTTGAAACATGTTTAATCACCTCACCCGAGTACCAACCTAACATCAAATATCTGTGCACCAATGATTTATGATATTTATGATTATGATTTACCAATGATGATTAGGTATAAGACCTGCAACCCAACATTTCTTTTATGCAATAAATGAGAAGAAGCGTATGCCTGTACCTTGAATGTGCCAAGAAATAAAAGATCTGCAGAAGAGGCAAGCTGCATTATCAAGGCTTGCAGATGATTATCAAGCGTTTAGGGTGCTTTGCAACTTGACACAAATAAGGATTCAGCGAGCTAACGCTACCTACTTCCATCAACTCCAGATTCCCAATTTAAATGATTAATCCTTCACAAACATTCTTTCTGTAAACCTTCCAGATCCTCCCCATCACTAGTCTTTCCCATTTCTTCTGACAATTTAAATTCAAATTTTATATCTGCTTCTTCTACCTCTTCTTTACCCTCCTCTTCCAACTTTGTTCCTGAGTCATCCATCATTCAATGATGATGACTTTTATTTTTCCGACATTTCTCCCACAGATATGTTAGCCGCTGTAAAAAAATCCCATATCAATTCCATAGGACCAAATGGCATTAAATACTGCCAGTTATCTTTAATAGTTTGCAGTATTTCTTTGAGAAATTCTTTTATTTGTCTTTTTCCTGACAGCTGTAGTTTGTCCAGTTTTGGCTTGGCAGGCATTCATTTTTCTTTGTACCTTCATGGCTTGAAACACTTCTTGGATTTTATTTTTTTAAATACATATTACATAGTTGTTTTTTATTTTATTTTTTACCCTATCTCTAATATCTCCAAATGTTGATCGATTGGGTGGTCTAATGGAAATTAAGTGTTTGAATTTATTCTTCAGCTCTATTTTGAAATATGTTTCACTCTAATGGAAATTAAGTGTTCGAATTTATTCTTCAGCTCTATTTTGAAATATGTTTCACTCTAATTGAAATTAAGTGTTCGAATTTATTCTTCAGCTCTATTTTGAAATAGTGGATCAGCTGATGCGAAGGACGTGTTCTGAAATCTTCTCTCAGTTGTTGCCTATTTTTCAGCGGAATCTCTTTGATTATTTACTGAATTCAGTTGAACTGTACACCAGAGCAGTTGTTATTTACAGTTTGCTACATTTTTTTTTTAATTTTTTTTTTTTTTTTTTTTTAATTTTTTTTTTCTTCTCTTATGATATGCGGCATTGTCAGCCAGTGATGTCCAGTAAGGTGCCCACTAAGAGGACTCGGTCAGACGGAGTTAGTACCCCTCGTGATTCACCAGTGAAACAAAGAACTCGTCGCTGCCTGCGAGAAATAGCTCCAATAACCACAGTGAAAACTTCAGGTACAGAACCTCAGCCTCAACCAGGTACCTCTTCGCAAGAAATGGTTGAAGAATCTCCTTTCTTCACTCCAAACCCGTTCCAAGTGCTTCATAATGACAGAGAAGTAATGGAGTCAGCAGCAGTACCCAGGGAACCAAGGCCTCCTCCGATATTTGTTAAAAACATCAAAAATTTTCAACTACTGTGTACACAGCTAAACGAAATCTGCTCCGGCAGTTATTCTTGCCTCAACAGGACTAACGACACAAAAATAACACCTGATACTGCAGAAGCCTACCGAAAAATTGTGAAGTACCTGTCAGAAACGAATGCAAATTTCCACACGTACCAGCTGAAACAGGAGAGATCGCTACGAGTGGTGGTAAGAAATTTACACTCCTCAACCCCAACTGAAGTGATAAAAGAAGAACTAGCGACGCTTGGTTTCAAAGTGCGTCAGGTAACCAACGTTCTGAAGGAGAATAAGGAGCAGCCAGGAGTGAGTAATAAAGTTCCACTACCTTTATTTTTCGTGGATCTAGAGCCATCACCTGGCATTGAAAAAATATATGATATCAAGAGATTGTACTACACTATCGTGAAGATAGAGAAGCCATACCCCAAGAAGGAAATTGTGCAGTGCCACAATTGCCAGGCGTATGGCCACACGAAAACTTATTGTCACCATCTGCCGCGTTGCGTGAAATGCGGTGAACAGCACAAATCTGTGGAGTGCACCAAACCAATACAAGATCCTGCAGTGTGTGCACTATGCCAGGAGGGACACCCGGCCAACTACAAAGGCTGCCAAACCTATAAGAGCCTTAAATCCAGATACCAGAAGAACCGGATTCAAGATGAGACAACCAGACCAAGAAGAGAACCTTCTAGAATTGTTAACAATAATTTATCATACTCCGAACTACTTGGAGGTAAGAACCCCAATAATACATGTGAAGCCCTGCCGCAGCAACTACCTCAGCCCCAATCTCAATATTCTGTTCATCCTAACACACATAATCATCAACAACCTCAAATTCCTCATATTCCTCCTCCTTCAAATGCAACAGATCTCACTAGTTTGTTAGCATCTTTCCTAACCGATTTCAAATCCCTAGTCACTCCACTCATATCACTCCTTACAAATCTCGTATCTCACCTCATCCCTCCTTTGAAAAATCCTTAATGACCCACATCCCAAAACCCATGTCCATTCTCCTTTGGAATGCGAATGGTGTTAGAAATCACGTTGACGAACTAACAGCTTTACTACAAGACAAGAACATTGACGTAGCCCTAATTACAGAAACTCGACTGACCATAAAACAGCATTTAAAAATCCCACAGTATTTAACATACCGTAGTGACCACCCTGATGGCAGAGCACATGCCGGCACTGCTGTCATCGTACACCAATCCCTCTCCCATCACTTACTCCCATTACCTACTCAAGATTTCCTACAGTCAACCGCTATTGTAATCAAAGCCTTCTCCTTTCCAGTTACCCTTGCATCAGCATATTGCCCTCCTAACAGATCCATATCCAAAGTCCAGTTCAGTTCTCTCCTCAACTCCTTAGGTCATCATTTCATCCTGGGTGCAGACTTAAATGCCAAGCATCAAGTTTGGGGTTCAAGAACCACGAATTCTCGTGGCAGAACATTTCTGTCTGCACTCAATACCCAACGTTTCAGTCTCCTTCCACCCAACTCACCTACCTACTGGCCCACAGATCCTAACCGCAATCCCGATATCCTTGATTTTTTCATCCACAGT